TATTGTCCTCATTTGTAAGTCGCTTTGGATAAAAGCGTCTGCTAAATGACTAAATGTAAATGTAATATACAGTATATATATATATATATATATATATATAGCTTCATGACATTCATAGATTTATAAATGTGTGTATTTTAGGTTTTCTGACAGATGATCCATATGACTTTGCAAACTCCTGGGCCATGAAAGGAGCAGATGAACCCTGTAAACGCATCTTGCCCCCGTCTCAGAGCTGCAACAGCACCGGAGAATCAGCTAAAGTCAGACGCTCGCCTGCAAAACAAAAACAACCTTCTGTGTGCCTTATCATACAGATTTCTGAGCGTGTTTGCGTGTGTTTCAGGATCAGATGTCACGGTGTGAAGCCATGAGCAGCTCTACGCTCTACCTGCGTTGTGCTCACCTCATGGATGCGGCTGCGTTTGTGTCCGTGTGCGAGTCTGACGCCTGTCACTGCAGTACGGGAGATGACTGCGTGTGCCAGGCCATGCTGGAATACGCCCGTACCTGTGCCAGTCGCGGCATAACACTGTTCAACTGGCATGTACAGAGCCAGTGCTGTGAGTAATACATGCATACTCACTTTTACAATTGTATAAATACATTTCATATAAGTCTGATATTGACTGCGTGTAAATAAATGTATGTTTCCATTTGCTCAGCCCCTAAGTGTCCTATTGGCATGGAGTACAGCGATTGCACCCCGACCTGTTCCACTTCCTGTCAGAATATAAACATCCAGGAAGTCTGCAAGGAGGAGTGTGTCGACGGCTGCAACTGTCCAGGTGAGAGAGATACCGGTCTGCTTATCTAGAAGAATTTATACAGTAAAGTGAGTAAAGACATTTATAATGTTACAAAAGATTCCTATTTCAAATAAATGCTGCTCTTTTGAACTTTCCATTCATTAAAGAATCTTAAAAAAGGTTTCTACAAAAATATTAATCAGCACAACTCTTTTAAACTGATGATAATATGAAATGTTTCTTGAGCAGCAAATCATGTGACCCTGGACCACAAAACCAGTCATAAGGGTCCATTTTTTTTAAAATTGCGATTTATACATCACCTGAAATCTGAATAAATAAGCTTTCCATTGATGTATGGTTTGTTAGGATAGGACATTATTTGGCCGAGATACAGCTATTTGAAAATCTGGAATCTGAGGGTGCAAAAAA